GGTCCAAATACCGTATCGCAGTATGATAACTTTGACATAATGAGTGATTCACACATTTTTAATTTAAGTTTAGGTGAAAGTATATCCCTATTAGGATACAGTTGTCTTAACACGTTGTATGAGCTTTGACACAGTTGAGAAATATGTTTTGTGAACCTAAGTTCAGAATCAATCCACAGCCCCAAGTTTTTATGATCATAAATAGAGGGCGGAATATATGCATCAAAATATAACAAAATATGCGCATATATATATGCATCGTTTTTACCAAAAATATGCAGTTATTTTGTCCAATTATGCCTAAATATGCAAATGCATATTTGTTAAAAATACTTAAAAAAAAGTAGGGGGTGGGTAGCTCAGTGGTTAGTGCGTTGGCCTGTAGACTTAGGGGTTCCGGGTTCAAATTCCAGCCGGGACGCGATTTTTTAAATTAATTAATTTATTTAAAAATTAATTCTGATGCCTAGCAAATATTTCCACTTGACCATTCACTGTTGGGTTCTAATTAACATTGCTGTTCCTAATTTGGTACGCTATCAAAGCCATTACACGAAAAAAAAAACAAAAGAAAATATGTAATATAAAAATTTATTTAAAACAAACGAAACACAAAAACTAGTAGAAGTTAAGTATAGAATAGTATGAAAATATTAAATAGCAATATTATAATAGGAATTTATAATTAAATATTTTTCGAAATTTTCTATTAAAAATTTTTGTCTTCTGTCTGTAAAAATATGTTTTGATATAGAAAAGGGCCTTTCAACATCTACCGAAGTAATAGGACAATACCGTAATTTTGGAAGTAATGTACAGGGCCAACGTAAAACTTCTTTGGAAAATTTGCCCTCAAAAATGTTTTTTACTTCCCTTATTTCATTGAACCCTTCATTCTTTAATAAAGTTGTATTTAATTTTTTTCTAATCTTAAGGCCTATGTCACCAGGAACATTGTTACATTTATCGGAAACTGTTGCAATAAAATTTGTTGATTCGATTAAACTTAAATTTTTCTTTTCCAATGAAGTTATTACATCAGGTAAAAAACTAAAATTAACCTTTATAAACACAAGTTGCTTAAGCACAAGGGAATTTTTTAACAATTCTTTACTTTGCACTACACATTGTGAATTGTCTTCTATATCCAAAATTAAATCCTTAATTGCTTCAAAGTTTTCTGCATAGAATATAGCTGCTTTAATCCATATCCCCTATCGCGTAATTACGGGTTCCGGGGGCAAACACCCCTACCATTCTCTCTTTATACAACTGCACTCTTAAAGGGCCTTTAAAAAATATTTTTTGCACATTCGAAATTAGCTTGTTAACCAAGGGATATTCTGTTCTCACAGTTTCTGCAACTAAGTTTATTCCATGCAGAAGACAAGTAACGTTAACCATATTTGGATAAAATATTTTTAAGTTTTGCCCTACTTTTATCATATATGGTGCTGCGTCAGACAAAAACACTAAGAACTTCTCTGAGGGAATTTGATTTGGTAAAAAAATGCTGCTAGAGATTGTTGAATAAATCGGGTAACAGTTGTATTGTTAGTTTTTTTCTGTTTTGATGCAATTAAATATTATGTATCTGGTTTATTTTCTTTTAAGGCTCCAATCATAAGATGTACCATATATCTTCCACAAGCATCTGTGCTGTCATCAACAATGATGTAAAAATTGCTATCATCCAGTAAAACTTTAATTTCTTCTATTGCATTTATATATATAGTATGTACATTTTTTTTCTGAGTGTAGATTCGTCAGGAATGGTTTGATTGCAATATTTTTGTAAAAATTCTCTTAGATGTAGGTTTTGTAACTTCTTTAATGGAATATTTGCCGCAACAAGAGCTTTGCACAAGTCCTGATTAAATACCTCCTTGTCACTTTTTGTTTTGTCGGCGTTTTGAAATGACCTCACAACGCATTGTTGAACCGGTTGTGATTTCATTTTTTGCAATTTGGCTTTATGCAATGATGTTTTCACGTGTTGAACCACTTTGAACTTTTTTTCGCAAACCACTATTTTGGCACAAGCTTTACAAAAAACTTTATCCCCATTGATTTCCAACTCTGGAAAGTTAATAATCCACGAATAAATTCTCGACATTTTAGGACACTTTTAAAACAACAAATTATTACAAGACTTTTCACTAGACCAATAACGAGGATACTATCTCATTAAACTGAATGAAAAACATTCAAAATATTCCGATGTTAGGGTAGATTGGTTACAGGAAATTACTGAGAATTTTATATAAACCGTTTTATTGCATTGTAGGTAATACTTTATCTGTGTAAATACCATCTATTAACAATTACCTTAATGGGTTTAATCTCTTAAGAAGGTAAAAACCCAGTGCATGCCACCCTCCAAGAACTAATTAACAAGAATTTACAAGAAGTGACACTTAAAAACAAATACAAAAATTTAAAAGGTCTTTATTTGAAATATATCTGTATAATCTGTTAAAACAGTTTTTGATTTGCACAGTAAAGTAATACATTTTTTTTTTCGAAAATATGCAATATTTTCTTAAATTTTCTGAACTTTGGTAAAATATGCAATATTTTCTGAATTTTGGAAAAATATGCAATATTTTCTGAACTTTGGTAAAATATGCAAAAAATGCATATATATGCATTTTGTATATATTCCGCTCTCTAATCATAAACAAGTGGAATGGGGTCATGACCTATGCTAAGTTTAAAATTATTAGTTAGAAGATTTCTAGCTTTATTGGACCAAAATAGCATAAAGATAGATTTTTTTGAGTTTAATTTGAGATTAATTATATATCATATAATTTTTTTAAATTTATTTTTATGATGTATTGAGCTTGTAAAGAATTTCCTTGGTTAAAAGACAAGTAGAGTTGCGAATCATCGGCGTAATGATGAATATGACAATTCTCTACAAATTGATGAAAATCTGAAATGTAAAGTGAGAAAAGTAGTGGTCCTAAAATGGAACCTTGTGGAACACCATACTTAACCGGAAGGGATCTCGACACAGCTTCGTCCAGGACAATTTTCTGGGTGCGATTTTCAAGATAACTTTTTAAAAGTTTAACGGCCCGTGCAGAAAATCCAAAATAGGAAAGTTTTTTTATTAGAAGTTGATGATCAAGTGTGTCAAAGGCCTTGCTGTAGTCAAGCAGCACTAGGCAAGTAACATTTCCTTTATCAATTGAATTATATATATACTCAGTTACGTCTAGAAGCGCAGTAGTAGTGCTGTGACTAGAACGAAAACCCGATTGCGTAGCCGGTAAGATGTATTCTTCCATAAACTTGTTCATTTGTTCTTTTAAGATCATCTCTAATACTTTTGATAGAGTAAGCAGTATGCTAATTAGCCTAAGATCTGAGTGGGTAGTGGGATTGTTACATTTTGGTAATGGAATAACAGAGGCTCTCTTCTATTGCTCCGGGAACTGACTACTGGAGATACATGTGTTAAATATGAACGTTAAATGTTCTAATAAGAATTCGTCTACCAGATGAATTAGTCTCAATGAAATATTATCTGAACCTACAGCGTTGCTTTTAATTTTGTAAAGATGTTTTCTCACTTGAGATGATGTAACGGGGAAAAATTGAAAAGTATTATCACTAGACTGGTTCTGATATCGATCAAGAAGATAAAGTTGGGGGTGAGTTTTTTGTGTGTAAGTAATGTTGGTGAAGTGAGAATTTATACTATCTGTATCCTTTAAATTATCAGGAAAAGAGGCAGTTGGTGTTCTCAAGATATTAAGAGATCTAAGAGCATTCCAAGTAGATTTAGAATTTTTTTGCAAAAGTACAAAGTCTAAGTATACTCTCATTTCACGACGAATTGCAGATGTGGTGTAATTTCTGAGTTCTTTGTAGTAATTCCAGTGCACAATGGATTGAGTAGATTTAAATTTTTTGTAAGCTTTATCTCTAAGCTTCATCATTTCTTTGATGTTGTATGTTAGCCAGGGCGAAGGAGATTTGCTTACTCTTTTGGTTACAATTGGAGCATGATAATCAAACAATTTAATTATTGTCATATTTAAAAAGTTTACCATTTCTTCAACATTTTCCATGGCATATATGTTGTCCAGGGTCAAAAGATGTAGATCGTGATTAAAAGCATTTAAATCGAAGTTAGAAAAATTTCTATATGTCACATATTTTGGCCTGCAGTCTTTTTTTAAAGAATCGATACTACATGAAATTGAGAAGTGATCTGAAATGCCGTGAATATCATAGACATGAATGTTAGAAATAAGATGTGGTTCACTTACAATTAAAAGATCAAGAAGAGTAGAGCATGTTCTGGAGATACGAGTAGGCCTATCAATAAGTTGCTTTAAATTAAACGACTCAAGAAATTCATTAAGTAGTGTAAAAGGTCTATTTACGCACAAACAGTCAATATTAAGATCACCAGCTAGTATAAACAAATCACTAGTAGGAAGAAGATTTGATACGGAATCTTCTAGTTCTTGTAGACACTGTAAGATACTAGCTTTTGGTGGTCGATATACAACACCAAAAATATAAGTCTTATTGTCATAAATCACAGATATCCAAAATTGTTCTAAAAAATGGCTAATGTTTGAAAATATTATTTTATGATTAATTTTTTTGTTTATGTAGAATGCTAAACCACCGCCCCTATCATCTCGATCAGCACGAATAAGTGTGTACGAGTTTATATCCACAATCCTCGTTTCAATCGCATGTGACAACCAAGTTTCGCTTAAACCAAAAATATCAATATTTCTGCTAGTAATAAATTCATAAAGTCTGTTGAAGCCTGTGAAAATAGACCGTACATTCAAATGATAAAAAGAAACATTTTTATTCATAATAGTAATTTAAACAAATAATACTTAAGTGATACTCAAGGAGTGTTTAAGACCAAAAAAAGAAAAAACAAATATTGTAAATAAAAAGAGAAGATCCAAAAAGATATTTCTTATTATACTACTAATTTTAGGACATAAGAATAACACAAACTATTTTCTTTGAAGTTGTCGCTTATCTTTGTTTCGTAGACGATCAGTTATTTTATCCAGATCTTGTGGGTTACTACTTGGTCCAGAGGAACTGCTTGATTGTGTTAAACCTTCGGAAGTAGGAGGTCTAGAGATAATGGATAAACTTGCTAAAATATCGGGATTGGTATTTAACTCTTCTAATGTGTATTTTTTGTTATTTACACATAAGCGATTATTTTTTATAAATATTTTTAAACCGTTTTTCTTTCCAGTATTAAGATGTTTTCTTAACTCCTTGTGTAACAGTTGGTCCTGTGGATTTAGGTCTTCGGCAACGAAAATGTGGGAGTCTTTAAGTTTGTTGAGATTTTTTAATACTTGACTTTTCTTTAGGTTATACAAGAAATCGATTTTTAATATTTTTTTATTATTTTTTGAAGTAAACAGGTTTATAAAATTAAAATCTTGAAGTCCCAAGTTAATTTCAAGTTTACTTGAGAGAAATGTGAGCGCGTCTACGCAATTGAGTTGATTCTCCAATCCAAAAACCACAATACTGTTATTACGTAGTTTATGATCTAACTCAAACACCTTAACTTTTAGGGCAATATTTTCTTTCTCAAGATTGTTGGTTCTATTACCGACGTTCATAAGTTCTTGCTTGAATTCAGTTAGCGTGGTTTGTGTTAAGTCCACTTTTGCATTAAGATTAAGTAAAAGGACGTGTAAATCGTCGAGAGTAACAATTTTATTAGAAGCCATTATTATTTTAGTTTGTTTAAAATTTGTTTCCAACGCATCGGTTCAATAGACACTGCCAAAATTTTAAATCAGAAATTTAATTCGGCTTCTTTTGTTTATCGCAGAAAAACCACCGCAAAAACAGAATAAACTATCTTGTATTTTTGGCTATAATACGATTTAATTAATAACTTTGTTAATAACTTTGTTAATTTGCATTTAATTCAAAAATTGGGTAGTATATCGGACTCACTGTGATTTTTCCTTTTTATTGGTGTTCAAACATTGATTATTTTGCACTATTTCTCACTAAAAAAGATGATTTTTGCGAGCTACACCCAAACACAACTTTTATCGCATGTATCGCAATTGATGTCAATTGGTCCAGAATCATGAGACGGCTTTATTCGCTCAAGTCTGTAATGTGACAAGTCTCCTGATTCACCTACAGTGCTTCAGCGAGTCTGTGGCGCTATGAATGTAATTCCCGAATAGGGGTTGCTCAGGCGCCAGTTTTGATATCGCAGTTTGCTCTGCGGCCCTGGGGTGCACGTAGAGTACACCCTCAGTAGACTCAGTGGAGTCCAGGTACAAATAAAAAAAATAAAACGGATAGACCTTCGCTGTTAAGTTGACCTACACTGGGGTAGTAAAGTAAATAAAGTTTTTCACTACACTTTTACCTATTAATCACTACGCCCTGAAAACGGAAAAAGCAAAGGCGTAATTCAAAATTAAACTCAGGAATTTCAATCAAAAATATATTTACAAAATAAATGAAATAAATAATAATTAAAAATAAAATACACGGGGTGAAATCGGTATATATTTATCTGTTTAATAACGGTAATAAAATAAATGTAGAATTATGTATGTTGATAAAATAAAAGGTCTCGGTATTTACAGAAAATGATAAAACGGTAAAATTAACTATGACCTATACTATACCCATAAGAAAATAAAAATAACAATTTTTCCTTTAAAAAAAATTAAAACGGTGGGCACTAACAACCTTAGCACAGATTCTTTGCTATTAATGAAAACGGCCGGCTTTTAGCCATAAGAAAAAATCTACAATAATAAAACTAAATATGATTCAAACTATACGTTTAAAAAATAAAAAAATAATAAGCTACTCTCAGTAATAAAAAAAAATATCGGTAATCGGCCAATGGTGGTGAACAGTATCACCCTCCACTCATGAGAGAAAAAAAAAATGACGGATGCCTTTGTAAAAACGACGCCTAATATCCTCCCCGCAATATTATTTTACTAGGCACAATAGACCAAATAACGGGTGTCTTAACGCGGTATTATTCGACCAATACTTTGAGAATTTTTATTTTATTTATTCGGTTTCAAGTTTCTCTTATGTGGAGATCTGGGAATCCATAGCTTTCACAGAACAGAAACGGCTGCGACTCTCGACAGGGATAGCAAGCAAATACCACTATCATCCCTTGGTTAACACGAAAATGGTTGAAGGGCACTAACGCCCCGGATTTAAATACAATTCGTTACCCTGACAGGCACTAAGAAATCAAAAATATCGGTCGAATAGCTCATGTAATTAATAGTACGGAAGTGAATGTTACAGGGAGAATTATTAGACGGAATTTTAAATAAAAAGGCCTACCTTAGTTAACTTTTCAGCAAAATCGCTTTGCGGTATAATCGGCACTACAGCAAGGCAACTTTTATTCTTCAACTCACGGTAACAGCAGGAAAAGAGGTCTCCTTCATCGCAAACATCTAGTTTTATCAGAATTCGTACTTTTGCCGGAGTGGGGCGGTAGCCCCACCTAGAGGAAATAAATTGTTATTGCAAAAAAACGTTAATTGATCAGCTTACTGATAAAATCTACTACTATTGCAATTTTACGAGACGATTTACATTAATGTGATATTGAAAAGTTTTAAACTACGAGGGCTCTTGTAAAGATTTAAAAACGGTAATTCTATGGAAACATTAGTTACAGGGGGTCTTGAAAATGTTCATAGACGGAAATTAATTTTAGAAATTAATTTATGGAATAAATTAATGGGAATTTTAGTGACTTCGTCACATCACCTCCTTTCTTTCTAAAGAAAATAAAGATAAGACGCAGTATTATCTTTATTTTCTTACACTGGAACACGGACGGGTGACAAAAGTCAGTTATACAGTGATGTATCCGGTGGCATCTGGAGGCAGCTGGCGGCACCTGTACTCGGTATATAAAAAAAAACAAACGGACGGAAGATCAACCAAAAGTCAATCGTAGTGGCGGCGTTTGTACTGCAACGGTACGTTGTGACGGAGGGGTATCGGTCTGAACCGAAACCGTGCGGACGGTGACGGCGGATGGCATTTGCATCACGGAGACGGCGGGGAAATGGTAAGGTCGACGATTGGGATGGACGAGGGAGAAACGGGCGGGGCACGATGGGGACAAGGTCTGGTGCGTCGGGACAAGGGAATCAGACGGGGCAATTCTTCCATCTCTCGGCTAGAACAATACAAGCCATTAATCGAGTCGTTTAAGACGGGTTTCTACGGGAGACGGGAATCAGGAATGGGAATGGAAGCAATAACGGAAACGGGAATGGTTACCTAAACGGATTTCAGGGTTGACGTCTTAATGGACACGGACGGTCGTTCCCTGGCTATGAGAAAAAAAAACAAAACAAAACGCTTAATCAACGCGTTCCGATGCGGGTTTTAGGTCCTTGATATGAACTTTGTTGATTCGCTTACCGGCGGCATCCCTCAGGTTGTAAACTACGGGTGAAATTACTTTAGTGACGGTGTAGGGGCCGGAAAACTTAGGAGCGAGTTTCGCCGCTACATGATCGGCGGCGGAAGACAGGGTATGCTCCCGCTTCATAACTAGGTCACCAATGGTACACCTCCAATCCCTACGACGAAGGTTATAATATTTGCTCTGGAAGGTGAACGCTCGTGACAAACTGAGCCTTGCCAACTCATAACATTTCTGTAACTTAGCCAGTCTCTGGATCTGACCTTCGGGTATGGGCTGTTGATCAAGAGGATCCGCAGGCGGTACGGCAGGGTCGGCGTCTCGACGGAGGGTTTTGGGTACGGATAGTTCACGTCCAAAGTTAAGAAAGGCGGGGGAGTAATTGATCGACTCGTGACGGGATGTATTAATCGCAAAACGGAGATCGGAAAGATGTTGATCCCAATCACGGTGATTTTGTTCACAGAACTGGGCTATCATAGTTTTAATGGTCCTATTGGCCCTTTCCACGGGATTGGCTTGTGGGGTGTAGGCCGGGGTGCTACGGTGACGGATCCCGAGTTCCTTCAGGACATTCTCGAAGAGTCGGCTGGTGTATTGTGTGCCATTATCAGTTATGACCTCCTTCGGGCATCCAAAGGTCGAAATTACGTCGTCATACAAGGCGGTACTCACTGTCTTAGCAGTGGCGGCACGGATGGCTCGGCATTGCACCCATTTAGTAAAACGGTCTTGGAACATGACAATGTAGGCGTTACCCTTCTTACTTCGGGGCAACGGGCCGACTAGGTCGGTGCTAACAACTTCCCAGGGTGCGCGATTTGAAGAGGGTTGCATCTTCCCGGGTGTCTGTTGCTGGGACGGCTTGTATCGTTGGCATTGTAAACAACCCCGGACATATTTGGTTATATCCCGGAACATACCAGGCCAGTAGTAACACTGGGCGATTCGGGCGATCGTCTTAGCGATGCCAGAGTGGCCAGCGGTGGGAGCATCATGGTTCTCTTCCAACACTCGAGTACGCTGCGGCGTCGGTACACACAGCTTCCAAGGATCGGATAGCTCGGGTTCCTTGTAGTCATTAATATCCCAAAAGTGGCGATATAATCGGCCTTCTCGTATGCTGTAATCTGGGAATTCGGCGGGGCTCTTTTCTACATCAGCTTTCTTTTGGTTATACCAATTACAGTTAACAGGGTCTATGACTACGCATATTTCGGAGTCAGGAGGGGAGTCCTCGGTACGGGGTAACGGGTTTCGCGACAAGGCATCGGCAACTCGGTTCAGGGCCCCACGGCGGTACTTGATGTCGAAATCATATTGTTGCAAGAAGATACTCCATCTTGCAAGACGGCCGGACGGACTCACGATTGAATGCAACCACCTTAAGGATTGGTGATCGGTCAACACGGTGAAGTGATAACCTTCCAGGTAACCCCGCATCTTTTCTATTCCCCATACTATTGCAAGACACTCCTTTTCGGTCACCGAATAGTTTCTTTCGGCCGAGCTTAGCGTTCGGCTGGCATAGGCTACGACAAAATCGATTCCATCCTTTTTCTGTGTAAGAGCCACCCCTAGCCCATGGGCAGAAGCGTCGGTCTGTAAAATAAAGGGCACGGAAAAGTCGGGACAACTAAGGATCGGAGCCTCAGTTAAAATTGTCTTAAGTTTTGAGAATGCGGCCTGTTGTTCTTCTTGCCAGTTCCAACGGTTCGCTTTCTTCAGAAGTTTAGTAAGGGGTGCCACAACTTGCGAAAAACAGGGCACGAAGCGGCGGTACCAAGAAGCTACCCCTAAGAATCTTCGGAGCTCCCGAATGTTTTTTGGTGCTTCAAATCGAACGATAGCTTCGATTTTATCAGGGTCGGTATGGATTCCGGTGCCTGTGACAACATGGCCTAAGTATTTTAAACTTGAAAGGCAGAAGTGACACTTTTCCTGGTTGATTTGCAACTTAGCGACTCGTAGGCGCCGAAACACCTCCTGGAGGTTTCCTAAATGCTCTTCAAACGTCCTTCCTAGTACTATAATATCGTCTAGATAAGCGAAAGCGTGTGGATCCATTTCTGGTCCAATGACACGGTCTATCAATCGTTGAAATGTTGACGGGGCGGAGTGAAGGCCGAAAGCCATCACACGGAACTGAAATAGTCCTCGACCGGGGACGGTGAAGGCGGTAATCGGTTTACTACGGGGAGACAACGGGACTTGCCAATACCCATTCTTTAAGTCCAGACTGGTAATGTATTTGGCGGTACGGAGCTTGTCCAGAATCGA